TAGACATGTTTTATACGGTGCAATATCGAGGATAAATGCCACAACAGACGCAAGTTAATGGTTGTAAATAGTAGACATAATATCCATTACAATTGGTTGCAAGAATCGAAGTAAGTGAATATGATGAATAACATAAATATCCGCTGTAATTAACACATTGGGTACCAGATGCTGTTGCACCAACAGTTGATGGATGAGTACCATTCCACCAAGATGGATAATTTGAACCACAAGAACCTATAGTAACAGGAGATGTAACCAATTGACTTCCTGATGATCCAGTCATTCTATACCAACCATTATAACCAGAGTCACAAGTACAGCAAGTACTAGGTGAGAAATAATATTTTGATAGGGGGGTACCGCTATAATTTCATATAGAGTAAATAATGAATTTTATACCAAATGAAAGCCCGTCCAAAATGGGGTTTATTGATACTAAATAGTAAGGGTTATGAAAACTTTTTAATATCGAATTTAAGAAACTTTCAGAAATTTTATACTTTTTTTGCGGTGGAAAAGTAAGATGCCAGTAATTCAAAAATAGAGTAAAATGTTTTTCTTGGATATTTTTATATGGTTCGATAGAGCTCATCGAGCTCTACAAAACTGTATGTATGAAAAATTTTTAACCAGAACTGTTGGGTTAAAATTCACTGAAAAACTGCTTAAAGAATGTACCAAAAAACCTGCAGTTTTTACACTTTTTATAGGGGAAAAAAGTGGTCTTTTTTACACTAAATTCAGCTGTTTTCCATTAGTATCCTTATGTAAGATATTTGAAAATATACTCATTCGATGCAGTTTTTCACGCTGCATCGAATGAGTATATTTTGAAGTGCCCTAGGGGGTAAAAATAATCAAAAATAGCTAATTTTATTGAAAATTCGAGTATTTCTCTTCCATATCAAAAATATGACTTTTTTAAACGTTTTTTAAGATTTTCCAAATAGTTTTTTCAACTTTTTATCACAAAAAAATGACTCAGAAAATTTTTCATATATATAGTTTTGTAGAGCTCGATGAGCTCTATCGAACCATGTAAAAATATCCAAGAAAAACATTTGACTCTATTTTTGAATTACTGGCATCTTACTTTTCCACCGCAAAAAAAGTATAAAATTTCTGAAAGTTTCTTAAGTTCGATATTAAAAATTTTTCATAACCCCTTACTATTTAGTATCAACAAACCCCATTTTTGACGGGCTTTCATTTGGTATAAAATTCATTATTTACTCTATATGAAATTATAGCGGTACCCCCCTATCAAAATATTATTTCTCACCTAGCAGTATAAGTTGCAAGACGTGTTGCATCATTGATTGTGTTGTAACTTGTACATTGAGGAGGTAAATTAAGAACCGTAGAGATTGTT